TTTAGTGGAGAATATGTAGGAATTGCAAGAATAGTCGGAAAGTTGTTTCTTGACCTCGTAAAGTTAGAAAAACCCTATAAAAATGGCCCAATTTTCAAACGACCAGAACTCCTACAATAGTCAATGGATCTCATTAAAATTTAGTCTGGACGTAGAGCTCATGGATAACTACAAAGAAGTATTAAACAAAATTTCTGTAGGACGTCAAACAAATTTATTAAAAATGAAAAACGAATTTTTAAGAAAAATCGACAAGGGGTGCTGAAATTTTTCGGCGAAATTGAAAAATTTCAAATCATTCTGAAAAAATTATTTTTGGTTGCGGAGGTAAATTACAATCATTTTTGGTGAATACACATACCCCTGAATTATTTTGCACTTTCGAGAAAAAAATTCTGGAAGGTAGACACATTTCTCGACAAAATTAAAAAATTTCAAATCGTTCTGGGAAAATTATTTTCGGTTGAAGGGGTCAATTACAAACAGTTTTGGTGAATAGACATATCCTCGAAATCCTACACATTTTCGAGAAAATAATTCGAGTAAGTGGACAAAGTCGATAAAATTAAAAAATTTCAAATCCTTCTGGAAAAATTATTTTTTATTGCGGGGGTCAATTGCAATCATTTTTGGTGAATAGACATACCCTCGAAATCCTACGTACTTACGGGAAAAAAAATTCTTTACCGAAAATATACTGTGTGACTGGAAATGTTTCTATATCTTTTTAACAAAGCCTCAATCAACAAATTGGTATCCTTAATAGAAGACTGCATTTTACAGAAGAATTCACTAAATATACGCATAACAATATTCTTAAGTTATCAAGAGTTACTGAATTGTATAATTTTTATAATTGATAGAATTTCAAACTCCCCATTTTGTTTAGTGCTTCTAGTGGTAGATCCTTTATTTCACGAAAGTAAAAAAAATACGGACCAACTCGAAGAAGGTTGATAAACTCCAAAATATGCTACTTAGGATTGTAGATTGAGTTTTATCAATTATTTTCACAATTTCCATGGCTCAGTTTTATGTTTCGTATAATTTTGAGGGAGGATTTTCATTACTGAACGTCCAATATCGCTTGAACCGTATTTTCTGAAAGTATGTATCCTTGAAAATATGTCCTGTGAACTGTACACCGATACACGAACAATGAACAATTATCGAAGCTACGCGACTTTAACACTAAACCTACCACGAACCGGTCAAATGACCGTTTTTAAAATTTTGTTTAGAATTTCTAACGCACAATGTTATTTTAGTGCACATTTAACTTCACGATTTTTCTTATAGCATACGTACAATGAACTTTTCCATTAAAATTTTCCCAGGACTGGCCGAACACCCTGTATATAGTCCAGTATTCAGTTTCCATTGTCTTAGGACAGTCTAAAAACGCGTATTAAAAATACTAAAACTTTAGACGCGTGCAGTTCCGAAACTACTAGGGTTTTATTAATTATTAAGGTATCGTTAGAGGCGGCAAGGCCTCCCCTTTAAAACGGTCTTTGGTTTCTGACGATCGGACTTACCGTTTTCGAGATATCGTAATTTATGTAAAGGGGTATTTTTCTTAATTTGACTATCTCTGTCTCCGTCTGACGCGTCGCGCCGGGCCTCCTTGTCGCACGTGAGTCGTGACTCTCGTGACCTACTTTCGCGTAGTATTTCCAAGAATTTACTACGCACTGTTTACTATTTTTACGCGCGCGAGTTCATTGATTATCAATGAACGTAAACAAAGGCTTCGGCCGTCGTATCTCCGAAACTAGCCACCGCATCGACTTGAAATTAAAATCGCTATATCTTCGGAACTAATTACGCTATCGCCTCGTACAAACGCTCGTTTTAAAGGGCATTTCATCCTCTATCTGATGACTATAAAAACTATTATAATTTATTTTATCTTCTATGTTTATTTTCACATTTACTTTGACGCTACATACCTAAAGAAGTTTCAGCAATTCCTACTGATCGTACGACTGTATATTATACGATATAATGCAAAAATTAGGCGATTAGAAATCATTTGACCGGTCATGGTAGGAATAGGTATACACGAAGTGTCGGTAGGTTTAGTGTTAAAGAGAGCGACGAGTGGACGGAAAGGCAGGTATATATCCGTGCTGCGAAAACTTTAAGGGGAATAACCACGGTTGGAGGATTGAAAAAATGGGAAAACTTTTTTACATATTTAAAAAGTTCAGCTATTTAAAAATAGAGTGTATCAGATTGCTGATGCGCACTCGGGATTGTGAACTTCATATTTCTGGAATTACCGAATCGATTTTCGCGTATATATTAAGTAGATTATCCGTTTATAATCCCTACTAGATTTAAGATAATATTTTTAAATCTTCTAATTATCGTGTCCTTTCTACAGTAAACAGAAGCCAATTATATTTTCATATTATCAAATTAATTACTCTTACATTTTAATAGCTTCTTTCTTTCATCTGTTTGCTATTTGAAGTGAAATGTCAATTCGCACGTTTATAAACGAACAATCAGGATTTAGTAATGTATAACAATATCAATCGTCGCAATTTAGTCAACTGCTCGCGTACCCCATTGATTTTAAAATTCAATTATTTCGAAAACAAAGCATCTCACATAAAAATTGTACTCTACATTTTCGACTCATTTTTGCATTGCCTCTCGCCCAATTGTGTCACTCATTCTGAGATTCCACGTACGTATACTTTAAACGATTCCGAACGCAATTCTTCACTCATACGACAGTCACGAAATAAGTAGATACTGTGTGTTCACGAGAAGTTGGCTAGCGAGACGACACAGGGGACCAGGGAAATACTTCGTTTGCTCCACCCATCCCACATTCTGGCACCAATCAGGCCCACATTCCTTTCGCCAGCCAACTTCTCGCGGACGTACAGTATTTATTTTATTCTTTCACGAATATATTCGATTCTCCAATGCATACTGATTCTTCCTCTAAACGTTCGTTGACTCTCGTTTACCCAGCTTTGAAATCAACAACTTTCTAACTTTCGAGGTTCAAAAATTGTCCAATTCAGCAACGACAATGAAAACTGTAGCAACGGTTTCGATCAAAGAGGCTTCCCCGTGCAATCGAATCGTGAAACCAAAGAAGTTTGCCCGGTTCCTTCGTCTCCGAACGTAACTCCCGATGCCGGGGAATCTAATACCTCCGGGAACAGTCGACGGAGACATCGTCGTTCCGGTCGCCAAGGGAACCGGGATCCAATTGGAAGTATTTCTTCTTACGACGTCAAGTTCGGCAATAAGAAAGTTGGCATGCCCCGGGAGGAGTTTCCGCGAGGGAAACGGAGGCGGACAGAGTGAAAGAAAGAGGGAAACAGCAGGGGAAATGCTCTTTTGCCGTGGCAGGTGCGCCCACCGCTGGCTGAGAGGCATTAAGAGTTGAATCGAAGGCTGCCACCAAAGCAGACTTCCACCCGTACCAATCACTCCGCCTTTATCCAGTTATTTATGTCGCGAACATAAAGGACCCTCGCTCGAATTCCGTCCTCCTCGGGGGACACGAGCGTTGATTGATTCCCACAATACGGGTTTACCTGCGAAAGCGGGTAATCGAATGTATCGATAACCGGTGTCCCGGGAACAACGTCTCCTGCGAACGTTGAAACGGATATCCGTTCTCAGGACGCTTTTCCTTCGAGTTGACGAAGCTCCAGCCTCGCTATCTTCTCGTCGGGTCAAGGATTTTCGAACGGTTGATCCTCCAAGTTTGACCGTCTTTTATTTTTCTAATAAATAAGTTTCCTTGTGCTGTTCTATTATATCACTTTGGCCAGCAACTTGGTCTCGTTTAAGAACTCGATGGATTTATTGGTGATCTTGCCTTTGTTGAAGTTCCTTTTTAGGAACGTTTTCATTTCATTTCTGGCAATAGTAAGTGTCGTGCCTTGTGTCGTGAAGTCTAATTTTTGGGATACTCGGGCGGGAGTTTAAAAATTATTGAAATATCCAATGCATGAAAGTACTATGTTATATCTTCAGTGAGGTCCAAACTTCAATGTGCTTCGGTAATTCAGTTTCTTTACTTTATAAAATATAAACAAAATATCGGGAAAATCCAGTATAGAGTTCTTGAAGGCGACATGCAAATTAAATAAAAACCGGATAGAAAAATGAAGAATTTTATGTTTCTTTGTTTCGATATTATAGCTGAGGAAAATGTACGTTTTAGTAAATCGGCTACGTTCTACACATTACACTGACTCTCAAAATTGTTGCAATAATTAGCATTATAAAATTACAAATTGAAGGAAAAATGGATATCTTGTAGACACTGACATAATTTAATTTGTTAGAGAATGTCATAAATAAAAATTATAAAAATAAATATAGGCATTTTCTATAGATACTGATCGATACTGTAACATTGGAAAGAAAATCCTCACTGAAATTCGTTCGCTTTATTTGACGTAATATTTGTTTACATTTACGCTTACATCATTAATAAATAAATTTAAATTTAATTTAGTAAAAACTTTCTCTCCAACCTTACACATTTGAAAGTGTTGGCAATGTAAAATACACTTTCAACGAGAGCATGCCATCTTATAAATAGTTAGCTCTGTTTTGATAGGGATTGATCGAGTCGATTGCTGATGTTTGCTAAATTGTGTGATCGTAAAAATAAATAGGAAAAATATAATTGTGCACAAATGAAAAGTACTATGATCTTTCAAGCTGCTTGCACTGATATGGAATGACGTGTGAGATATTTTACGCAATTATGAGTTTAGGAAGATATTTTCCAACGAAGATTTGACAATTAGTCGCTTGAAATATAGAAATAATAAACAGGAGCGACACTGCTCACGGTTGTCTAATTTTAGTCCACCGCGAATTTTGCATTATATATACATTAAATAAAATCCTTAAATCTTGATTCGCTCATCAATGTTCATTTGAATTCAGTTAGAATCTTCAAAAACTTTTATTTTATAAAATCGATTAAGAAGAAATTGTTTTATGCTCACCGTATGGTATCCATGAAGTGGAAAAGACATGTTCTTTAAAACGTAAAAAAACAAAAAATTGTTTGCATTTAGAACAAGTTTCTTCGTTTGATAAAATATATATTCGGTACAAGTATTATGAAAATTTAACGATCGATCCTGATTTGGTGCCTGGCTTAAAAATGATTTTAAAATTTTTACCGTTCATCCTCTCACAGTTCTCGTATCGTTTATATTCGAACGTTTCGAACAACTTCATCGTTCTAAACATTGATCTTATCCGTGCATTACCGATGCGTTCGCCTAGAATATAAGCTCTCCTTTGCACGCAGATGAAATTTCAATGATCAAAGTCATCCTAAATGTACCAAGCTATATCGCAATTTGTTCGCATTCGAGTATCCATTAAAACCGTACATTCCTTTCAAACTAGTAAATAATGCAGAACAGGTAAATGAAAGGAAACGAAAGGAGAAATTAATCATCGCGCAGAAGTAACTACATGTCGTTGTGTTCAATTAAATTACTCACCATCTTTATTCATTCCCATCTGCATACATTTTTTCAGTCGACACGCTTGACACTGATTTCGGTGAGCTTTATCTACGACGCATCTTCCAGTACCAGCTTGACATCTGAACATACAATTTTTCCAAACATATAAGATGATTCCGAAGCCAAAGAACCTTCGTTATCATCATACAAATTCATTATTTTAATAAAGTTATCGTTGTAAATCGTAAACATTTAAAAATATCTGAAATAGAAGCGTTGAATTAAAATTCAATTGAATTATTAAGACTAACGTAGAAAATTCAATCGAAGAGTTCAATGATTACATGTGTATCGTGAAATACACGTTTCATTCTACGATTTAAATATTTATTTTCATTCAACGAGCAACAAAACTTTTATCCAGACAAAAACATTGCTCGTTTCTTGATTTTAAGCACAGTACAGTTTGTTTTCGAGTTATAAATCATTCCTAGTAATCGACCAGCAAGAGAATCGAGTAAGAAAATTGTCCCAGCCGGGATCGATCGATCGTTGACGATGATGTTTCACCGACGATCGCCGTAACTTGGCGGCTGTTGTCCCTTTCGGAAAGGCGACAAATTTCGAGCGCACTTGCCGGAAATCCTGGCTGCGCACTCAGGAGTTGGCGTTAAATTCGATTACTTTCATTGTTGGGCTAACCCGGTTATCCCTTCGAGCTGACTAACGTAAAGCTGCGACCGCTCGAGGTCACGTACCTTCTTCTTATCCCTCTTAATTTCATCCAATCCCGCGGTAGCTTCGTGGTACTTCGTTTCTTGGAGGCTTAGGGAATCTTCCTCCTATCATAAGACGGTCCAATCGACACGAAAATTAACTGCTGCACCCGCTCCGGCAATTTGTTGCATTTCATCTTTGAGAAATTAATGTACAGTAGGCGGCAAATATAGTGGAATACCGGTTTAATTCAGAATTTTAAGTCTTGTATGAACAATAATACAACCAGCAATGAAACTAAAATAAAAAATTCTTGATTTTATACGTACAGTTATGTAGTAAGCAAATTTGAGAAAATCGTGGAATTCTACATCACAAAAATTAAAATTATACTCCTTTGCACGCCTTTAATGTTTTGATGGGTAGCCTTCATTTTTAATCACATGTTTTAAACGATTTGGCATATTGCGAATTATTTAAAAAAAATCTCTGCCAGAATCCAAAGCTATTCTTCATGGAAAGAAGATTCTTCTTTGCGTATGGTGGGATCGAAGAGGAATAATCCATTATGAGTTGCTAAAGCGTAACGAGACAATTGTAGCAACCTTGTACACTGAACAATTGAACAGTGTCCAAGAAAAATTACAACAGTAACGACCAGCACTTATCAATCGTAATGGCGTCATGCTTTTGCATGAGAACGCTGGACTACATATGGCAAGAGTCACCCAGGAAAAAATTTTGTAACTAGGATGGACCGTGTTACCTCATTCTCCTTACTCACCGGACCTACCCCCATAGATCACCATTTATTTCGATTCCTACAAAATTCTTTAAATGGACAAAAATTCAATAACGACGTACAGGAATTCTGACGTTTTTCTTATCAAAATAAGCTGATTCCTTTTGCATCAGGAATTGATAAGCTACGAAATAAATGGGAAAAGGTTGTATTTACGAGAGTCGTTCAATAAGTCCTTAGAAAAAGGTAGAAAAACAAATTATTTTAGGTAGATTTGTTTGTTATTCTTCAACATAATCTTCTTTTAGCTCTATACACTTTTCCAAGCGTTTCTCCAACTTTTCTAAGCTGTCTAAAAAGTAAGATTTTGAAAGATCCTCAAAATAGGCGCCTGTTTGGGCGGTGACCTCCTCGTTCAACGTGAACCGTTGTTCGCCAAGCCATTCTTTTAAGTTTGGAAATAAAAAAATGTCACTGGGGGCGAAATCCGGTGAATACAGTGAATGTTGTAATAATTTGACCTTTAATTCCATGATTTGGACCATCGAAACTGCACAGGTATGCACCCGTGCATTGTCTTGATGCAAGAGGAAGCTCCTTGCTTCAATCGACAATAAAACTCAAACCATGAGGTGGATATAACTGAGACTTTGACATCTGTCTAGTGAGTCATGATGCTTACTAAAAACAAACCATTTTCGATGATACGAGCCCCAGGTCTTGGATTTTCTAAGGACTTATTGAACGACCCTCGTAATAATAAAGAATACGTTTTAGACTAAGGTGTCGTGTAACTCATTTCATAAAGAAATAAAGTTAGGTCCAAATATTCAAATGGTTACGAATAAGAGAAACATCGTGTAGCCTAAACGACAAATAAAGAGTTAACCGTCCGAGGTTCTCGTACGCGTCGAGCAAGAAAAAAAGGATCGCTGGAGTCGTAATTCTGGGGCAATAGCCCGGGGCTCGATCGGTCGACGGGGCGGTCGATCGATTCCCGGGGCTCCGTTAGCGCGATTTTAACTAACGTCACTCACAAGGAGGCGGTTCGATCCAGCCGCGCGACGAAAGGACGCCACCGTCCTGGAACTATCTTGTCCTGAGGCGGTGGAGTACGAAGGGCACCGAAGGGTGGCTGCGTGCTGTCGCGCCAGCAGGGTTCCTCTCGCAAATTGATTTGCGTTCACACCCCAGCGAGCCTCCTCGACGGTGCCAGGCCCCCGTCAGGGGTCTCCTCGTTGCAACACGGGGGATACATCGCCCTAGCCATTCACCCTTCAGAACCACATCATACATTTATTTACGCATCTCTCTATTCTTCGACCGGCCTGCATTGTTTGCTTCATCGAGTTACCGGAAACATGTGCTGCCTGTTATCGCGCCCGTCGTTCGCCGGCTCTGGATGATTCGATGACTTAACCCCGCTGCGATCGAGAAAGAGATCGATTCTTTGCGGTGCAACGCGATAACATGTACTGTCTCTCGACCTCTCTTTGCTGATTCGATTCCAACAGGATTTGCACGCTGACTAACGAATATACGAGGCTTGAATTTTTTGACGTTAAAATTTCATTTAAAAATCAGGTTTGGAATTTGTAATTAAATTGTAAGTATTTTTATATTTTATACTACAGCGATACTTAGTTAACTTTCGCTGGCTCGGGTCCGCAAGAAGAATAGAAACGTCGAGATTCTGAATAAAAATTAACAGCAGTGACGTTGATACCAAATACTTGACGAACGAAACGTAGGAATTTGATATATTTCATTTTTTATTAACAAATTGTATTGCTACATTACCCATGGTTGTTTATTAAAAATCAAAAACAAGTTTCTAAGAAAAATCGACAGTAAGTGCAGTTCGGCAAAATTAAAAAATTTCAAATCGTTCTGGAAAAATTATTTTCGGTTGCAGGGATCAAGTACAATCACTTTTGGTGATTAGACATACCCCCGAAATCCTACCCACTTTCGAGACAAAAATTCGAGTAGGTGTGAAATTTTTCGACAAAATTAAACAATTTCAAATCGTTCTAAAAAAATTATTTTTAGTTGCAGGGCACAATTACCATCATTTTTGGTCAATATACATACCTCCGAATTCCTACACACTTTCAACAAAATAATTCCTTACCGAAAATATAATTTTAGGCCAGAAATGTCACTTGAAAATTTCTTGCGTATCTTTAAAATGTCATAACTTCTGAACGGATTGGACGATGTTAATGTTGAAAAATGCAAACTACGCGTATTTTGGTGCAGACTATATAGGGATTTCAAAAATGTTCGAAAAGTTATTCCTTAATCCCGTAAAGTGAGAAAAACCCCATAAAAATTGTCCAATTTTCAAACAGCCATAACTCCTACGGTAGTGAATATATTTCAGTGAAACTTTTTTCTGAAGTAGAGCACATGGGTACCTACAAAAATGTATTAGACAACTTTTCTGTAGGATGTCAAACAAAATTACTAAAAAATAAAAACGAATTTTTAAACAAAATCGATAAGGGGGTTTTTTCGGCGAAATTGAAAAGTTTCAAATCACCCTGAAAAAATTATTTTCGGTTTAGGGGGTCAATTACAATCATTTTTGTTGAATAGACATAACCCCGAAATCCTAACCATTTTCGAGAAAAAAATTTGAATAGGTATAGAAATTTTTCGGCGAAGAAAAAATTGCAAATTCTATTGGAAAAATTATTTTCGATTGCGGGGGTCAAATACAATCATTTTTGTTGAATAGACATACCCTCGAAATCCTACACACTTTTGAGAAAAAAATTCATTACCGAAAAAATCGTAACTTCTGGGCGAATTGAAGTATTTTAATGTTTCAAAATAGAAACAATGCGTATTTTGGTGAAAAATAGTTAGAAATTCTAAGAATGTTGTTTAGCTTTATGTTCCAACATTTAATCAACGAATCTTCATCTCGTCGATGCAGTCCAGGAATTGGATACCTTCCGAATTGAGCAAGTAAGTTGCGAATAGTACTCTAAAATTACGAAACGCCTCATTTTCTACTAGTTTAACTTTCACGTTCAAAGCACGAAACATTTTCACGAACAGTCTGCGACTCATATGGCTTGCAATTTGAATAGAAATTTACTATCGACCGATCTATTAAAAAAAAAAGAAGCCATCGTGGCTGGTGATCCATCGCGCGCGAAATTCAAGTGTGGCCCGATGGGAGTTCGCGCGAACACTCGATACAATCTGGAGCATGCACGATGTACTTAATTGCATCTAACCGATCCGTGAAGTTGGACTTTAATCCGACGATTATGGGCGATGCGCCGCCGCGGCGCATCACGTCGGGACGCATCTGTCGCAGTCCATTCCCCTCTGCGTGTAATTGGTTATCTGTGCGAAGGCTCTTCACTCTTTACCGCATTACGGCCGTTCGAGGAGAGGTGGCGGTAAAGAATAAAAAAGCGCTGTGACGGGATACGACGCCAGATCGAGAACGATGCAAGAGGGTCATCAGTCTCCGCGTTTGATCAGTTTCTATTTCGATTAAATCAAACGGAAAACGAATAGAATGGATTTTGCTAGATCCTTAATATTCCAAAGATGAATAGATGCAATGGATTTGGCTGCAGAGTATATTTCCTATCCAATGTTCAAAGTAATAGCCTGACACTAGCAGTTTTAAAACTTCGTGCAAATGATCATGACGTGTAAATAAAATAAAAATTCAGATTTTCAATTGTTTTATGTCGCATCGGTTTTATATTTCAATATTATGGGAGAATTTTCAACGTGGAAGTCACGTTCATTTTGGTAACGGTGTTGTTTGTTTGGGATAATCGCGTCAAAAAGGCTCCAAAAAGTAAAAAATCCAAATTTATTGTAAATTGCACGATGTAACGCAATTTTTTCAACAGAAGAGAAAGCACTGTTACAAATAGGATTTGTAAAAAATGTTTTGTAGAACATCAATGGATCCCGAAGCTGAATTTCATGTTTCAGATTTTCTACCAGAATAGGAGGAGAACAAAATTACATTGTAACGTACAAGTATCATTAGGCATTATTGTCAAAAGTATCTCATCGTTTGTATGATTCTTTTCTTCGGAAATTTCATCACTATGCTCGCGTTTGCGTGTATTTCCTTCATTTTCTCATCGATGAGCAATCGTTTAGCCATTATTGATATATTTATAACTCGTAATAAGCTTACGATAAAAATACATGGTGAGACATTTAAGGCAGGTCATCTGGATAACTTGTCTATTTTTAAAAAGAGAAAAAAAATGTTTGAGGTAGGAGTTGTTTGATTTCATGGGAAACATGTGATAAAGGTGCTTTTTTTTTGTTCTAGATGGAAGCACCAATGACATTTCAAGGTCATTCTTTATTTATCTCCTACAACCTATTTTGTAGACGAATCGAATGACCTACAGTTCAAGGCCACTAAAGGGCAATTACAAATTTTAAATAAAAAATTACCATTTACCCTAGTATCAAGTACCCTACTACTAAAAGAGCATCACTATGGTACATTTTCTACGAAGTCAAACGTTCTCCTTTATATTTAAAAATAAACGAGCTATATAGATCACTTGTCTCAAATACATCATCCTTTATATTACGTGGCATTACTATAACTGCGATTCGAGTCTGAAATTTTGTTAGATATACTCGATCATAGAGGGCTATAATATTAGTATAACAGAAAAGTTAAGTTTTAGAAATTCTGACACAGTTTCGTATTTGGATTTTTAACTAATTATTAATTGTTTTCAGGCAATGCATTCAAGAAGTAACACATATAAATCGTTACATAGATGTAACAATAATAACATTTAACAGTTAACTGATAATAGAAAAGTTAAATATACTGAATGCAATCGATGTAGCTATAAATATTCACGAATCAGTAGGTCTGGGTTAGGTGTGGAATGATTGGTTTGTGTATGAAAACATCTGAAGCGAAGGAAAAAATTCTATTTGAAGAAGCTTCCTGACCAAATCCTCATCCTGTTCCCTCACAACTACGTCAATGGCTTAAAACCAAATACGCGTGATTCTGATCGTGCCAAAAATCTCGGTGGAGTTTCGAAAATGTTTGAACAGCAGCGTCCGCTGCTGTTTGCATCCGGGTCACGCGCTCAAAACGGCTCCAGCTTCAACATTTATTTTTCAAAGAGGGAGTACAGGGGTTAATAGTTTGTATATCAAGTCGTGTACCTCCTCGACAGGCTTAACGCGCACACCTACTCGCGTCCGTTATCGATAGTCACGTACGTAGTCAAAGGGATGCACGCACACGTACGCCGGAAGCTCGTATGTGGCCCCGTGTAAAACGGATCGAGCGTATCAGACAGCGATTCCGAGTTGAGAGGGATCCGATGGAGATGGATGGCCGTTCCCAGGGGATGGTAATAGTACGCCGTATACACGGAACGCAGGGTTAGGTGGATAGGTCCTCCAGGGTTCGACATTATGCCGTTCCGCATTGTTGCCTGGTATTACGATGAGCCCACTCGACTTGGACCACATGGCGCCACTGGCTGGCCAGTTTGACATTAAACGCCATAAGAGGATCCGCTGACTAATTTCGATCTGATACGAGATTGGAGTCTGTTGCCGGTGGTCTTCCGCAGAAAGCGTTCACGAGGGGTCAATAGAAACCAGTTTACCACGATCTACCTTCGAATAGATACAAGATGTTGCGCCAATGGTGGTACGATTTCACAGAGAGTGATTCTTTAGGAAAAACTAAGTCGAAGGTTCAGGGTTAAATGTTTTCACACGACGTTTCGTTTTCGAGAAAATTAAATTTTAAAATTTTTATTTCGCCCATCTTGTTTTGTTGCTTATACTATTTAGAAACGAAATTTTTTTTCAAGTCAATACCATAGTTAGTTCCAGAGAAAACAATTATTTACATGAAAATACTGGTAAACATCCTCTATACAAATTTAAATTAATTTTCGATTAAATAAACAATTTATAATCCAGTTTTGACACACACCAGTCGTATAGTCAATAGGAATTCCTGAACCTTTGGAGTCAAAGTAGAGTTGAAAATAAACATAGAAGACAGCAAAAATGTGTTCAAAGCTGTAAAACCATAAAGACTGCACCTATTTAATAATGAAACGCTCTGTTGGAATCGTCTAACAAAATGTGAGAAAGGAAAGAAAAAATGTTGACGTTTACAATGTCGAGGAACATCTCCGCCTGCGATCGTTCAATTTTCAAGTTCACCTGCGTGTTTTTGAACTCACCTGTATATCAGCTTCCGTCTGACGCTTCTTTTGAAGAAGCCGCTGCATCCATTGCAGGCCAGGATTCCATAATGTTTCCCGGAGCTGGTGTCACCGCAGACAACGCATATCAAACCGAGGCTGCGCGGTGGTTTGCTGCCGTGTTGCGGCTGTTGTTGCTGTTGCTGTTGCTGCTGCTGCTGGTGCTGTTGCTGCTGGACTTGTCCCAGCAAATGGGGATGGCCATTTCCCAGTGCAGTCAAGTACGGTGACCTCGCGAGCGGGAAATCCGTTGGTATTCCTCTGCAAAGAGGCACTGGACATTCCTGAACCGACCTCGAGGCGTAAGGATCGTGACTCGAGGTCGATCCTGTCGCTCCTAAAGGACTGTATCGCTCCGGTAATCCTGGAGAGATTACGCTGCTCTCCCCCGAGTCTGAAAATTAATGCCTTCTTTGTTAGGTTTCCAGACGCTCTCGTTACGACGCATAAATTTCGATAAAATGGCACGATTTATTTTTAATTATGGGGCAACTGTCTCAGAAATCGGAAAAATTAAATTTTGTATCTTCCAGGAATTAATCAAAACGATCGTTTCTATTATTGATCTTTCTAAAATTAATATCGTTCTATTTAAACAAATTACTTTACGTAGGTAGTACCAAGATGTCTCGGTAATCGATTTGATAATATTTATTTTTGCATTTTAGCTTAAGAAATGAATGCAATTAAATTGAAAACAGTATCCCAAACTGTATAATTTTGTAATAATAACTAATGTGTTTTAATCTGATGGAATGATTACATGGAGTTAATAATATTATATTATTCTATAAAACTCGTACATATTGCCAAATGTAATCTGTTTTATTTTTAAATTAATAAACTATACCTAACACTGTGTATAACAGAAATAAAGCATTCTGTACGACATAATGTTATTCACAATTAAAATTTCATAAGTAAAATAGCAAGAAATCTTTTTATTTAACAATCTTTTGCATTTGATTTCATGCTTCGAGAATAATTTTCTGCAGAGAAGAGATTGCTACTTGCATATTTTATCATGATCGTACAAAGTTTTATTTAAATCAGATGTTTCAGACAGAAGAAGAATCGACGAAAAGTTGAATTTTTTTCGTGATAGGAAATCTATGATCGATGTGCAATTTTTCTAGGATCAAACTTTATTCGTTCTTATTCGATCAGGTGTGCAGTTACGTTCCACTAATCCTAGAAATCTCTTCCGTGGGTTCGTGTGACCATCCCCCAAATAGTGTACGCCACCACCCCTATTCCTGATTGATTCTCATGAGGGGTGTTCGCACGACACGACGATCGCATATAAAGTAATTGCACGCTCACAGTTCGCACGCAAACGTTATGGATCGCTTCGAAGGATTTACGAGCCAGTTAACCAGTGTGCGTAAAATCTGTAGTTGAAATTATAGATAAAGATCGATATCATTTGCGATTACTGATGAACGTTGTCGAATTGATATTGTCTACGAGGAAAAGAAATTTAAAATTATTATGTGGGTGGTCAAATTATTACGTTCAAAATTATCACTCATTTGATGTTTGAACAAGAATAACATTTGTACAGTATGATAAAGTTTAAATAAAAATGTGTCCATTTTATCAGAAAATTGTCATGTGACTTGTTTGATATTGTATTAATATTTCGTCATATCGTACATCGTATCTATAATATAAAAAATATGTTACTCGTTGAATTAAATTGGAAGCTAGTGAATTTAAATATTTAATAATGCAAACATTATTTGTATTGAAAAAGGAATTTATACGAATGATGGATATTTTGGTAGAATTGTTGCTCGATTCACTTATGGTTTTTGTCCCTGAGAGATCAGTGGTTTCTTTTTCGCATCCCTTAAGGCTTACTGAACTGAACAGCAAAGGCAAACAGTATTTACATCGAGAAATGAGTTCGTAAAAAACATAGAAGGTAAAGAAGATCCTACATAAATATTTATATCTTCGAAAGGGAACCCAAGACAGGCAGAGGTGAGAAGACTTTGCTATGGGGGAATACTAAACGATATTTTCTTTGATTCATCCCTCGAGTACACTTTCCTTCTCGTTTCAATTAAGTTCTTTAATTGTGGGATTTATTTTTCGTATTTCGTGCTTCCAGCAAACGTCAGAAGCCTTAGATAAAATGTGGAACAAAATCTTATTTGACAATTATAAAAAGAAATTCTCCTCTCTTTATTTTTCAATTGTATTTTTCTTTAAATAATTAATTTTTGTATACTACAGAGGAATTAAGAAGCAAAACATTTATAATGTGGCCTGAAACTATGCAAGAACATCATTTTATTAAATAATTTCCCCAAACTACGTTCCAGGTGTGTATTAAAGTTAAATCTTGACAATTCTTTAAATCAACAGTTTTATTTTTCCAATTTTATCAGAAGTCTATAAGATGTCGTAGCGATGAAACATAAATCGTTCATAAATAAACCTTTGGAATATCAAAGCCTGTTGCACACATATTTTCAACAACATATACTTTAGGAAAGTGTAATAAAAATTTTTTAAAATTCTAGACAAGAATACCCCCTTAATTGCTGTACGAAGCGATAGAATGCGTTCTGTTAATTGTAAAATAAATTTCATTGATACAGTTCCTTGGGTTAACTATATTAATTGGAAGATGGAGATGCAAAGAGATCGGAGACCGGCGAACATCTGCGTGATCAACGAAATGTGATTTCGCTTCTCCACTCGGGTTTATTAGTCACGCTGCCAACCCCGACAAGGCGCGAGATCTCTCTGGAATCGTATTTGTCGGCTGCCTCGTACCCGATCGAAAACTCGTTCCGGTCTCGTTAATGCCGCGGGGTCAGATAGGATCCGTTCGAATTACCATGCGAATCGACAACAGGTCGATATCAGGTTAGGCTCCCTTTTCTAACCCACTGCAAAATAATTAAACTCTGCCCTAGTCCGTCGAGTTATTTAAAACTCTTTCATCGCTAGAAATTGGAAAATCCGATAGAACTTTCATTATCCAAACTGACTCTGTGATTTTCTAAATGCAAAAGTTGCCAGGCAACGGAGTACAGTATTCCATCGCTTGATGACTGTATGTGCTCCCCGGCGAGAAGACGCTGAGTTGTTTCCTCACTAGATATCAGGCTCATCGAATCGAACAACCGATAACTGTGTCTGTAGAAGCCAAGAGCATGTTTTGACACGCATCATAATTGAATTTTATCCTGTAGTGAAGCTCAAAATTTTATATTACTCGTTACGCGTTCTACGTGAGAGTCTCATCATTGAATTAACAAGGTTTTTCCAATGGGAGGAATTGGATTATTTTTATTCATGTGTCTTTGTATGCAATACTTGCCTACTCATTGATAATACTCTAATAAAAATATTGTGCACTGAATATCGAAAGAAATGTCAACCCTCGAATAACCGATATTTAATAGCGCTTTATAGAGAAATTTTTGTACTTAGAATGCATGAAAATGCCCGAGCATTTTGATTCGAATTTTATTTATTATATTATAGCATGCATGGCAAGAGTTAATACGATAAGGATTACAGACACGTTGTTCTCGGGCTAATTGCGTGCTACACAATGGCTTTATCGTATCAGATCCAGGAGATGCGTATCCGTAATCGTAATCAATGATCAAACCTACCGAGCACGTCCGAAACTTCGACACGCATAATCCAGCTACGCCGTAAAGAATTCAATCGCATCGTTTCGTCGTTATATTCACGGGGGATGAACTGTAGGCGATCATATTAATGCAACTCACGTAACATCCTAAGCGCGCCGGCTTTTCGATCTCGTTAACACCCTAATCCCGACGAACGCTCACAGAGAGGCACAGATTGCGACATGTAAAGTCTCAAAATGGCGACGAATCGTGATCGCGATAGGAGATTACAACGAGTACGAACGTAAAGCTTGCAATTATACGAGAAAATTATGCCACGGTACTTCTAGCCTCTGTGACAGATATCAAAGACTGATTTCCATTTTCTATTTATGATTTTGAGCAAGCTTGATTAAATTCAAATTTCTCGAAACTCTCTTTTTTATTTATTTCCATACAAGGGGTTGCTTTCGTTTTGATTGTATGGTCGGACCAGCCACACCCTATCCACAGGGGTGTCACGGTAATACTCCTGCAGTCGGGAAAAGGGTGATTCTTATACAAAAACAAATCGAGAATATGAAATAAACTCGAGAATAATAAATTTTGTAATGGAAATTTTTGAAAACTAGTTATAATAAAAGATTAGAAGTGTTAAAAAGGAACCAAGGTATCTTCCCTGTACGTCGTTAACAATTATATAATAAAAAATATTCTACGGTCGAGTAATTGAAAGCAACATTGAAACGATTACCGAAAACACCCTGTATGGATATCGTTGGAGCTGGTCGACCATAAACTTCCCAAATTGTCGCCGTCCGCGTATGGCGACAACGTTACGCCATTAGGGTAATTAAATCTCGGCGGAGGCTCGCGAAATGCCACGACTGCCAGGGGTTAAACGAGAAGAGAAAAATTATGCGCCCGGTATGGTGACCGGGGCGACGGTTTTCGCGTGGAAACGCGAGCCATGGCCCCGTTGGTATGAGTGCGTACAACGAGCGCGAAACCAGGGGCGTCAAATTTCATTAGCATATCAATGCTGGCGGATGGCGAGGCGCCACCTGCGCCCCCGTATTATGGGATCATCGAGGAACTATGGTGGGGTTGCGTGGAATGACGTACCAGCAAAGGGGACGGCGGTCCCGAAAGCTCGAAAAAAAAAAAGATTTCGCAACTACCGGCTACCACTTTGGACCCACCCTCATCCCCTCGCGCTCCTACAACTCGCGACTAATTGTTACCGCATTAGGGAGATACGTTGATTCCTCGGTCGTCGGGGATTGCATCCCTTATCGTTTCTGCGGCACACCTTTCTAGCACCTTCTCCGTTGTATCGTAATACTATTACAGGATCATTGTCACGGAACATACAATAAATTACTTATCCGTCGAATTGATTCTCGCCTTCGAACATCTGCTCTGATAGCTTGCTGATTTCTCTACCGAATTCGTGGGAAATGGTGTCGTTACACGCTGGTTTTTATGGAATTTTTCATAGGGTCGATGAAAATATTTGAAACGTATTTTTAGAAGATATTTATATTGAGGGGAGGGGGGTATTTAATTGACCTCATAGTTCTCGATGCTTTGGTTGTTCTACGGGTAAAAATAAGACTAAAGTGTCGTATAACAAAATGTTCATTAATGTTAGAAATCTGCCTTTCTTGAGACAGATTTAACATCGACATAACTACATTGCTAAAACAGCGTTGAAATCCAAAACTATCTAAGAATAACTTTTTCAGAAACCAATTTTACAAACACCTGGCTAGACTGTAGAACTCGATGACGTTAAAATTGAATATAGATCCACAATTCTTTTCTGTCCCATATAAATATTAACGAATATGTAAACCCAGCCAAGAATAAATTCGTTTAGAGTGAAAAATTTGTTGAAATGAAAACTAAAAATATTTTGAGTCATTTGGTTGTTCCTCGTAATATGTGTTTTCATTTTGTTATATCTAATTAATTTAAAAACGTTGATTACATAGAGAGATTTCGTAATAGATAAACATACGTTTGAAAATATTGTTAGATTACACCAGAGTATTTTAACTAGCAGTAAATTGTACGCAACAGATATATAATTCGAAGTGCAATTTTATATTGTGCGTTGCTACATTCTTTGGGTCACTTTAGATCTGATTACTCTAATGGCATAACTTCGTTGGCCGCGTTGCACCCTCTTTTTCCACTTACCACTCTAGAACCATGATAAAAGTGCGTCGGGGGTGGATTTACGTGCAGTCTGTCTCTCGAACACGCGTTAACGTCGGACGTTTACGAACTAGGCGGAAGTGTTTGTTGAACGATGACTCGAAACGACAAACATCGATGACCTTATCATTAACAATTAGGGAAACGAATTTGTGCCGTACTTTCTTTAATTTTTAAATTTGTAACATCACAGTTTTAAATAATTGTTTCTTTGCCCCAAGTTTTCCAAATATTTTCATTTTTTTAATATTTCTAGGCTCGAATTCATTGCAAAGACTAAGAACATGTTTATGTTTGGGTAAAAATTCGATAATTTTTTAGTATTTATTTTAGTTTTTCAATAAGCAGTTTTTGATTTCGTGTATAATTTTATTAACTTACCATGTCGAATACTCAACGGGCTGGTAGGACTTCTTGGATGATCCGATTGTGTTTCGTTTTGTGGTTGCTGATGTTGATGCTGGTGTTCCTCTGAGGTTGTAATCGACGTTGTCCCATTCATGATGTGTCAGTAAGCATTCCTCGTAGAAACAAGACAATGTACTGTAACATGTGTCAATCCACAAATATTATTACACAGCATTGTATCGTTAACGTAACAAATAACAAATCCCAAGAATCTTTTCCACCACGATTTTTAATTTTACAATATCATTACTTTAAAACAAAATGATCGTTAACCAATGCGAACATAGTATGTACAGGTATTAATATTCCCCTTCTGCAATAAATTTGTACAATTTTAGTTTAAAAAAGATCCATATGAACCTTTTTATGATGAGGAAAGAATGCAGAAAAAATAACTTTATTTAATATATAAACACAACAAGGGTTGACTTAACGTGTAAAAATAGATAAGGAAAAACAGTAATATTTTTTTATTTGAGGCCTAGTTTTCGAGAAGATCGAATTTGAAAATTCTTCGTGTATGCTTGCAGCAGAGTACGATTTAATCTTCAGCGGGAGTAGAAACAGTACTTAATGGTCAGACGCGCCAGACAAACCGTATTCGATTTCATGAGAATCTGACAAATTTTAAAATTCAATTGTCTGGAGAAGAAAGCTTTAAACGAAAAAATGTTCTTTTTTATCGAATTATTTTTAAAAATAGAATTACTGTATATTCGTAACATGGGAACTATAAAATTATTAATACTGTGTATGAAAACGAATTATATGAATATTAAATAATTTAAAGAAGTGGTTTATTTTTTGTGTAATAAATGTAGACTAAAACTAAGCAATACTTTGAAGTAAAATCGGTAAAAGAATTATTTTTATTGTTATTTGACGTATAAAATTGTAACTTTGAGAGATAGAAATAATCATCTTATACAAATAGTTGATCATTTCGACGATGTATCGAAATATAAAACAATACATTTCTATCGTTCCTGTTATATAAATAGGAAAAATTTTTTTTAGACGTATTATTTTTTTGGTAATCATATGCAGTAGTACACACATAACTCGGATCATTGCAACTTCCACCGATATCATACAACTCATGGAATATCTACATTCTCGAAATAAATTTCGTTATTTTTAACACCGCTAGTATTTTATAAGTTTTTATTTCTATGCTTGTATTATCGTACGAATACATGATATTTTAGTATTTATTTATTTATTTTTATTCTATATGTGGAATAGTTGTTATTAAATAAATATTTTATCTCGAATAACGATTTGTATTCGATAAAATAGTCAATAGTAAAATGTGCACAGGTACACATTGTTTCATTCCAGAAGGAAAGAAATGAAAATGTGTGAGCTATAACTAAAATCTAAACATGTTCAATATATTACTAGACAGTGTTATTAATACTTATAGCGTATAACTATCATAAGCATAACTTACAATTACAAATTGTAACAAAATTTCTCAGAAATAATTATCAACGTTTATTAATTATTTTCATGGTGATAAAATTCTATGAAGAAATTTTCGAAGTATAAAAATGCGTTGCAACATGTACAACGAATAATAGTACGCACTCGAGATACTAAACACGTGGGTAATTGCATATTATCCTAATTTTTTAATGCAAAGCTTGCTGGATATTTAAAAGTAGATTTATTAAATTCATATCTATTTTTATACCATCCATACGTAAATATACTGTTATATTGTAGCGCAGATACATAATTTTGTGTTAGTATTTATAGTTTGATTACACTATTACGTGAGTCTAAATTAATATTAATAAATAAATTAACACTGATTCTAACGTTTCATTTAAATATGAATTTTTATTCTCACACATTGAGATTTATGAACTGCTGTTGAAAGAAAAAGACTGTAAGCTTAAACAGCAGATTTTCTTATTATATTCTTACTACAAAAATAATATATTGGTGCAAAAACCCTGTCGTTCTTTCCTGGAATTGATAGACTGTTTCCTGTAATTTACGATACTCGAGTAAGATACGATATCATAGAAATTGTTATTTGCAGAGAACATACTTTTATATGCAGTTATTGTGGTTCAGATAGAACACTGGCACCCTAAAAAATAAGGAAATTTATTTCGAGAACTTAGCTATTCCTCGATTTTTATCATTATGACGTATGATTTGGTGGAAATAATGTCAGCATTATTACTGAAAAACATACGTCTATAAGCCATGTTTCTCATCTGTGTAACAGAAATAAAACATTTCGTACAACATAATGTTACTCACAATACAAATTTTACACTTGAAATAACAAAAAATCAATTTGATTATAAACGATCGTAATTCAGGTTTTCCTTCTATAGTGCGTGAAAACTTCAAGGGTTGATTTCACCCCTTCGAAGCGATTTTCCGCTGGGAAGAGATTGTTCTGTGCAATACTTTGTCATGCTCTACATTCAAAGTTTGATTTGAATCAGAATTCCCGGGTTCGAGTTCTTCCCTTGTTTACAGTGGCGTACGCATACTTGTGTGAGTAATAAAATAGTGGGGCGTTTTATCAATCGGGGCGTATTACCCACTTTTACCCTACTTTATACTTTTTACGTGTTTCATACTCAGATGTATGCAACTTTTATAGAATAACAATGTTTTCTGCTCACAAAATGTTTCGTAAAAATTTACAAAAGAGCATGAGTCAAATATTGAGTACATTATATTATATAGCATGTGGACAAAGCAATGCGTTACAAGCTGTCTTTTCAGGTACCAATGGAGATATCGATTTCATTGATTTTGAAATTGAATGATCTATGAAGGTTAATCTTTGCATATGCACGAAATTCTTTTAAAACAACTAAATGAAACCCCCCTAAATTTATTTTTAATGGAGTGAGGTATCGGTCTTTTGTAATTTGAACAGCTTTTATCAAGCTGAATAATATTTATTTTATTATATTATAGTTATAGAGTCAATACGTAAAATTAAAATCAATTTTACAAATTTAGGTACAAGTACTCTTAAGTATTACAATTTTGTTACGAAAAAAGAAGAATTCTGTATCACTTTTTATCCTAACAATTCCTCCAAAAGAATTTGTCGCGTATGGAATGATTAACCTATCGTTTAACTAAACAAAAAAACGAAGTCGATATCTTCGTTCGTTTCTGAAAGAACTACTTTACTCGACTCACATGGTATACTACAAAATTTTCAGTATAAATATTAATAATGGGAAGAGTACTTTATTGCAGAGGAGAAGAAATTTATATAAATTCTTTGGCAAAATCACTGCTCGAGTCACTGTGGTTTTCGTCCCTACGAGAGGAGAGCTTTTTCCCCCAGCATCCCTTAAGGCTTACTGACTGAATCGCAAGGGCAAACAGTATTTACATCGAAAAATGGGTTCGTAAAAACCACAGGAGGTGACGAAGGTTCGACGTAAATATTTACATCTTCAAAAGGGAATGAAACGCGTAGAAAGGTAAAAATACTGGGCGATATTTTCTTCGAACCTTCAAATGTTACTCAAGAGTTCTTCAAATGTTACTTAAGATTTCTTTTATTTATAATATCGAAACACTCTTATGGTTAATAATTCGCGCTAAAACTGACAGATACACTCCGTGCACAGTTAGTAATGAAGCTAATTGCTATATCATAGTTCGATGCTCGATGTCTTTCGAAAGAATAAAAGAAACATCAAAACCCACAAATTCACAAGCTCAATCCTAAGGCAAGAAAACGTCAAATACCTCAAAATCGCAAAAATAGGTAATCGTGGTTCGAATCAAATCTGGAAATCCACTCACCCGTCGCGACGATGATCCAAGAAGATGGCTCCTGTAACACTCGCGCACAGCAATAGTCCAAACTGTCCAAAGTCACCGTTCTCTCACAAACTTCGAACAAGAAAGCATCCCGCGATTCTGTCCCCAGAAACACCGTTCGTTTTCATTCCCCGGTGCGTTTCATGAAAACTGACTTCGTACCGACGATCGCGTCGTTCTCCGGGCCTCTAACCTCGTACTTCCGCAGGACTGTGAGCGCGCCAGGGTGGCCAACGACGACGGATGACGTCTCGAAGTCGGTGTCTCGACAAAAGATCGAGGTTGGTCCGCGACGCGAACGTCCCGTGTTGCGGGGGATGACGTCGTTTGCGGCTCGCAGAGGTGTCCCGACGCCGAGCGTCCCGCGAGCAAAACGGACCACCGATTGGTCCACCGGCACTTTTGAAGGCGGGATCAGGAGGCAACGCCGGAAAAACAACAAAAACGAGGAGCGGGAGGATTTAACCTATAGCCGGCACGTTTGACGCGGCGCTTCGCCGACGACGCTCGTCGCGGCGCCTGCGCGCAACCCCTCCGGGTCGGTTGACGCCTGGTCGACGACGCTTTAACCCCCCACCCTCACCGTCACGAGACGACGCCTACCTTCACCCACTGAACGTCGTGTAATTGTTGATCGTTGGTTACGTGGTAGTGAAACTCGCTTTACCTCTCTCTCCCTCCCGCGCGATCGCCCCGTTTCTTTCACCCCTCCGTTCCCCTACGCGGAGGTCGAGCTGGAATCAGATGCACCGGTGCAACTGTTCCAAGCAGCCATCGACCGGCTGAAAAAATTGCTCTTTGAAACACGATTGAACGTTCGACGAATTGGGGGTGCAATTTCACTGGAGAACAATAGAGCTCCCGGAGGAACGAACTGTTTTTCACCCTTTCGAAGTAATTGTAAGAATGCCTCGTCTCTATCGAAGACTCATATTCGAGTATCGAGGAATTTACCTGCGTTAATCGCGTCGTTTAACGCGAACTTCCGAGGAGCCAGTAATTAAAATACAGATTACCGGCGGGCAGCCGACGGAACCGATCCCCCGGCGAGGAGCAGAAATTTCGCGATCGATGCCCGTTCCTCGGGCGACATCTTGTACACCCGGGGTCGCGGAGCCAGGATTTGAAAAGACTAGTTAACGGAGCAATTAATCGTTCGATCGAACTTCCGATTCCTGAAGTGTTCCCCCGGACAAATCGAGCGAAATCCACTGGCTGCTAGATTTAGCGGTGAAGTCGCAGCGTGGCCTCGGTAATAGCTTGCCGCGGGGGTGGCGATGGTAGTGGTAAATTCAGCCCGGAGGGGTTATCAGGTCCGCCATGCTGGATTCCTACCGCCGAACGACCCTGTGGTTTTCCGGTAATCGTTGCCAGGGATGCAGCGGTATCCCGGCCCCCCGTTCCCCTCAACCCCGCCAACCCCACGAGGAGCTCGAGGCCACGCCCAGGAGCTACGAGGCGGACCAATGACGCCGGGACGTCGCGACGCTGCCGTCCACCAATAGGATTACCCTCTGATACGGTCTTTCGCTTGTCAATGACTGCTGCACGACCACCCTCGCTAGCTCTCGCTGGGGTGCTTTTCAATTTCGGGCCCGCGCCCTCATAAACGCAGCCAACCGCCCGTCCACCCACCCCAACACACGGGCACCGCGTCGGAAGATTTCGATAGGTGGCCGCACGCACACACGGAAAGACTCGAGCGTGCGATGGACGGTGCCAACTACCAGGGACGGACGTAGAAAGGGTGATTGATAAAGACGTTTTCTCTTTCGGTTTAGACATGGGTTGGGGTAAATTTTTTATTCGCGAGGGACGAATAAACATTTTTGATTCGTTTGGAAACTGAAGGTTTATGTTTCGTTTGCGAAGAGATTCGTAAATTAGAATGAAGGAATGTTTTAACCCTTTGCACTCCGAATTATATTTCAATTTTGCTACCAGTGACTCCCAAAGCTTTTCAGTGTTTTATTTGAAATTTACGTTAACTAAAAAGTAGAGCAATTTGAACAAATTCAGTTGAATATCTGTTTTACTTACACTATTGTTGTATTTTGTAATTTTCAAGTGTATGATATCTCTTGAAACAATTTCCTTGAAACAATTTCCAGGATGCGATATCGAGTGGGGCTCGACATAGGAGTGCGAAGGGTTAAATTGACATTTGGGCGAATAAAGTTGAGGGGTAGCTCTAGTTTTGGAGCGAAACTAAAAATTTTTATCGTGGATAAAATTTAAAAAAATAAGTATGTTGTAATCAGGAATCTTAACAGTTGCAACGAAAATAAACTCTGGGGTAATTTTTATCTCGCCTAAAATGTTTTTAGGTACAAATAGCTTTTATTTTTCAGTTGGATATGGTTGTTATCAACGAGGGAAATTCATTTGTTACTAGCAATTATACAGGGAAACTTTATGGTACAAATAAAAGAGGAGAAAACAATGTTTATATTAGAAAAATTCAAATTCCACACATTTCAAAGATCATGAAACACAATCCTTTTATAAAATAGAGCATTCAAATTTACGAATGATTACAGAGACATTATAGCCAGTTATAACAAAGAAAATAGCTGACAATTACTATGCTTTTATACAAAATTTCTGGATAAGAATCTTCCATTTGAATCCCCAACCATTGACAATCTACATTCAAATGATATTATGTATTCAATATGTTTTTTATTATTTTATATTATTAGAGGCCTTATTATATTCTATCAGTGAAACCTCATTATAAGTAGATATGTATAGTATATACGTATGATTTGTTTTATATAATTTATATCACCACTTCGAACCAAAAAATTATACTCTTGGTCATAGTTAACCATAAACCACAGCGTGAAACAACAAATTTGATTGATCGAATACTATTGAAAAAATATATTTTCGTCATTGATAACAATTATGAGCGATTGAAAAAGATTTCTGTTATAAATAATTGGTAATTTTGTAATCGAAACGTTTATAAGTTGATGTTTTTTCCATGCTGTTCTTTTTAACAAATTTCCTTCAAATTTCATGATTATTATCCTCAATTTAAATAACACACTTAACTTTTTGGTAATATTTTTCATACAAATTTTTAGAGTCACTGCTAGTTTTCGTCCCTGGCTATAATTGTTAAGGATTATAATTTTATTTTATATTTTATTCTTTATTCTTTAGACTAACTGAAACCTGAAACTACTTTAATTGGTAAGTTAAAGGACAGTACTAAAATTATTCATTTTTAAATAATCTTAAAACAAATTGTACAATTCATAGAGCTATACTTTGTGATCAAGGACAATCTAAAAGAAGTAAAAACAATCATCATCAACAGATCGTAACTACACAGAACCAGTGACAATATACGAAACAATAACAACGAAACAATATTTAAAATTAAAAAATTTTTAATTTAACTTAAGATGTGACCAAGTTAATAAAGCACACAACAATCAAAGCAATATTATTCTGTATCAAGAACATTTTTCTTGGGTTAAAATTACTTTTCATTAAATAATTTCTACTCCAATTACGTTTTAAAGAATTTTAGAAATGGTTACTTTATTACTATAGTATTTCTTAAATTTCTAAAATAAAAAGTGGTTGGAGTTGAAAAACAGTATAATAGCTTTACTTTATCTACTGAAAACTAATAAAAAAATGTTAGTATGACCATGTTTAAATTAGGAATATTGATGATATATGGAAACTAATACTATTTCTTGAATACTTTAAATAACACAGTTTTTGGATTTGTACGAAAAGTAAAGATTATTGTAAAACTATATTTATTCTCCTATTAAAAGGGTGAATGAAATTGCTCGATCACCTTGAAGAACTGTCAGAGGAAAAAGTTACTCGATTCAAAAAGGCAAAAATTATACCGTAATTTCTTTTCAGTGACATATTTTTTTAGATTTGTCGACATCTATGAAACGATCTTTTAAACGATTTTAAATGTACTTCTGAATCAATTTTTCTACCCAATAAAAGTCGATTTTTCGTCATAAGGATTAATTTTAAAAGCTACATTGATTACACATTTTTTACTTCTTTAAAGTGATGTAAATTTTGAAAGACTCTTTTTTTAAACCCTGTATGCTCTATCATTTTTAGAGAAGTTTAAACCCGGGCATCCATGAGTTGATCGCCACTCCTGAACACGGTCTATCAGTCATCCACCGAGACGCAGCGGAGGATTCGCGTGCAGATGAATGCTATGGAAAATGCATACATGTTTTGTGAATATATGCGCCAAGCGAATCGTGTACACGCACACACGTACGAACGATGGGGTATGGAGTCAGATTTATACAGAGGTTCGGATACGAGAGCGATCTTACGTGTGTAGGTGCGTTCATAAACAGAACCAACCATCCATCCACTGATTAAAACAAGCGGAAACGCATATAGGGGATGAATAAGTACAGACGTGCGCCGGTGTACACGAACGCGAGCCCATCAAAAACACTTTTCGTGCATGGACGGGAAAAATGTGTAAACGACAGTCGGTTTGCCAATTATTTCGACCAGTTAGTTTAGCAAATACACCTTTTCACGGGCAGAATTACTTAGAAACGAGACACGATGAATAGTATTCAAGGTATCGTCAAAATTAATTTGGTCCTCCGTTTAATCCCATGCGACAAATAATTATTTTTACGACGCTTCACGAGGGGAAGAATAAATTTATGAAAGCGTTTAAACTTACCGGTTTGTTTAAGGACTTGGTCGTGAATAATTTTTCTAATTTTAGTTGGGAAAATTTTCTGCTGACTCCTTAATTGTACTCGATTTAAAAAAGCAATATCTCTGATTATAGTAGGAGAGATCGGGGTCAAAAATGACACTTCGATTTTTGAATTTTTTTTGTCATACTATCTAGTGAGGAATTCTTTATTATTTGTTTCTTTATTCGGTGTATTGCTGAGCTGTTTAACACTATGGTTTTACGAAAAGGGAATATTTATATCATTCTAAAGAATTAATAAAAAGTTACTTTTGGACGTCGAAAAAATATTTTGTTTACTGAATTTCTTTACTGATTACCTACGAAAATCGGTACGATAAATATTAAATTATTTAACATATTACCAATACTCCGTGTTATTTTTTACCCCAATTTTCCCTACAATCGAACGTAGTTTACTTGTATAAATGTTAAAAAAATTAGGAAGAAAAGTTTTGAAAAGTAAAAATATGCATTGTACTAGAATTATTAAAACAAGATGAACTATATAGGTATATGTACATGATGGTAACATTTACAAATATGAATAAAAGAAAACACAAAGATAATGTAAAAACTAACAAATAGCCCAATTTTATATTTGTTCTAAGTAATATTTAGACCATAAAATACCATATGTTGAAAATTTAGTTAAAAAATAGTTAGAATATAAAAATAAGAATAGTTTACTATTCTTCTTACCTGCACATAAAATACAATAACAGTGTACATATAATTGAAAAAAATTATCTGTAATCTGCTATATTATTTTTATTTTCTTTAATAGTAAATGAGTATATTCAACTATATTTGAAATCCTTAATCAGATTCACATTTAAGTTACAACTTAATGTTCACTTTAATAATACTAAATTAATACACAATCTTAAAAACTGTTTCATTGGAGATTTAAATAATTATACTATTTCGTACCACAACATAACTTAATAATTAAGATATGCAAAGAGAAGTGTTCGTTGCATCCAGAAGATCAACCTGATGTATCATGCATATGAAATCCCTTTTCTTCTTAAAGGTTTCGTTGAATAGAGTCAAAAGTATTCCCAAATAAAATTTTATCCACGATGACACGTTTGATAATTTACCAAAAAAAAAGAACTTTTGGAAAAAGTCAATATTTGTGAAACTTGTCATAAATTGTTTTCCTTTTTAGTATACTATCGAACGGTTCACCGTTGCTCGAATTTGATTTAGGGGTACTCTCGACTAATTACACATGTCTTTTACATAAACTGATCGATTGGCATTTAATGTCTACTACAACAGAACGGAACACACGATCCACTCGTAAAAATTGAAAAGAATTTCAGACACGAAATCTATGTCTGTTCCTCTTCGATTACAGGTTTTTCGGACGATGTTTTCGGGGAGTTCGTTATAAGATCGTCGTTGACTGTTTCAGGTTTTTCAGACGTTTTCGGGAAGTTTGTTAAAAGATCGTCGATGACTTTGCACACGTTTTCGTAGACGGTCATCGCTTCGTACTCCCCATCGATGACCACCAAAAGATCTTTGTAATACTTAACTATCGGTCGATTCCTTCTATGGAATTTCTTGAGTTCCTTCTTAATGAAACCGAAATTTATAACTGGTCTTTCCGTGGTCGTGATACTTCTGGCGTTTATTCGATCGCTCAGGACGGAATTTCGTGCTTTGAGAAATAAAACAAGATCCGGTGGTCGTACTTCCCTGTCGAACACTTGGCACTGACTCTTGTGCCTTGGGAACCCAGACACTATGACACCTTTCGCGTCCAGATTATTCAGAATTTTCTTCGTGATCAGTTCGATCAGTATATCGGTTGGTACCAGATGCCCCTCAGACATCATATGCGCCAACACAAACGCTCTTTCTGTTCTTTTAATCACCTCCTGTCGAATAATTTCGCTGCTTATTATCTCGAGGAAGTCATACTTCTTCGCCACCTTGGTGCACAGCGTTCCTAGAATGATCAACAAAATCGCGAAATGATATATCAAACAGAACTATATTTGCTTTTAATAAAAAATTCAAAATTAAATGTCTTCAACCACGATATTTAATCGAAAATAAACTTTTTCTATTATTTAGTAATTTTTTTACGAATATAAGCCCATTTAATATAATTATTAGTATGTTGTTTTATAAATATGAAATGAGGATTCAACTTTTGCGTAGATATTTTTTTCATAATTTTTATGTAGAGGGGAAAAATATATTTGTATTACCTATTAGAGTGAGAAATGAAAAAAATTGCTTCATAATATTGTGCTTGTAATCAAATAGAAAAAATTTCAAATGCTACGGGAATATTTAAATTTAAAAAACATACTTCTCCTATCTTGTTACATGACAAATTTTAAAAACAAATCATTTTAATTGCTGAGATTTTATGTAATTTTTTCAAATTTTTCTTTCGAACATCAGAGTTGTAAAAAATATGAATGGGGCAAAAATGCTGATGATCAATGATTATGCATTTGCAGAATATTATCCTCGTACAGATTTTTAAATTTGGAAACAATATTTAATGACACGTATGCAATTGAGAAATTTGTAAATAGAAAAGTATTTGATATTTGAAAATATACATTTTCTCAGTAACAATTTCGAAGGAGAGAAGATTAAATTACCAAGTGCCAGAAAATTGAGGAGAAGGAAAAGCAGGAAGGCAGGAGAAAATAGTGTCAATAGGTTAAGTGATGAATGACCAAACGGGTATACGTCAAATTATACAAAATATTGATAAATTGTGTAACTTTTTCCGACTCCCGGTCCTCCAATTACGAAGATGATCGGCAGACCAGATTCCCTAATCGGCGTGGTGTCGATATTAAAGGAGCTCCTTGGAATGGAATCAAGCACAGGGTCGTAAGGTTTTATGCAATTGCCCATCGAACCGACAGTTTTGGGATTTCCTTTTAGTCTTAGAACCCCACTTTTCGTCTGCCGACAGAAACGAAATACATTTAACTGCGTGCCTGTTACTTAATACCGAGGTTTCTGTTCAAGTATTTACTTCCCGAAGCCACGTTTCGTTCATCGTGAAGTACCATTGTAATCGGTGGAAAAGCTAAATCGTAAACGCAATCGATATTTGTTTTCTCGTATCAGTTCCTTTTCTCTTTTTTACATTTGCCAAGCTGTAATCACTATTTAAACGTTACAGCGCGATCAAATCACAGATAAACAATAGCAACGTTCGTGTCGAAAAGAAAAAATTCAGACGCGACGTTAACGTGCGAATTTTAGCGACTAATTTATTAAAATGTTAATAATTTTACTTCAATTTGAAAAATAAATATTTAGATTGGAAATATTATGTTTTTTATTACATTGTCCTTCGCTGGTACATTGATATTACAATGATTGTGACACCGTTGTCTTGCACCTTGAGAATTTAAATATAAAATAAATTTATAAAGGAAATCAAATTATTTTTATTACTGGGTTAGGGGCGAGGGTGGTATGTAACCCCCTTACCATTTTCGTGTCACATGCGATGTTACCAACCCAGAAAAGAATAAGTCAGTAGCGCTAAATGAAATATAATTAAAAATATGTGTACTTCTATAATAAAATTAATATAACAGTAAAAATGATTGTTATAATAGTACACGAAAATATTTTATATATAACTTATTTCCATTCAGAGTGGAATTCCTTCCTCACCGATCACCGATATACATGCTCACAATTCAAGTATACGAGTAGACCTTTCACCACAGACGAGGTATACGACTCATATGTATACCTCGTCTGTGCTTTCACCTTATGGGATTTCGTGGCCCAATCTGACTGCCATACCGACCTGAAAATTCGGAGGTGATTTTATCGACCTCTTCACATGAATAGCAGTCAGTTGAGAAACTATCCACTGAATTAGTATTGATAGGCAAACAGCTGTAGGGTTGCGTAAATACATGTGAGTTGACTATGGAAGAGATTGAAATTCATTTCTGAATCTGTCGGTAACGTTGCGAATGACACGAAAATGGTAATAGGGTTTCGAGACCCCCTAAAAATAGGCCGCAAAAATACATTGGATGAAGGATCTACTTCTGTGACAATACTCTAGAATCTTTGATGAATCAATGAGAATCAAAACTAACCCAGCGAAGAAGCTCTATATTTATGATGACCTATGCAAGGCGGATCGCAGCCAATTTGCTAATATAATTTAGTTTTTAATTAATAATTGCATTACCCAGCTAAGAGTGATACGATTATTAATTAAACGCTAAATAACATTACCCAGGTCTCACCACGTGGAGGTTGCTGCGAATGGAGACCCGCCCTAACCGATTCCCAACCACCCTCCATTAGTAAAGATCGTTTGTGACCAGCGATCGTTGTGGAAACAAGTACCAAAGACTGGAAACGTAGAAAACTCGTTCCTATACCACATTCGTGATTCCATTTTTCATTCTCGACAACCATTCTGATTAAAATATTGATACTTTTCTTTCCATTTCAACTGGCCATTTTAAAGTAAATTTTTATTTAAAGCTAACGTAACTCAACTGAAGATCAATATTCGTATTAAAAATAATTTCCATCGAAAACTAAATATAGAACACATGTTTACACAACGTTTTTTAAATCTTTTAGTGTGTATATTCATCCCCATGCAGTACGGCTACGTATTTACGAATCATTTGAAGAAGGAAGTCTTCTCTGCGATCATTTTTGTTGTTGAACTCGATTATTGCCCCTTCGGGGATAGAACCCGAAAGGTTCTGGGGTCAGTCGCGTTGCCTCTTAATAAGTCTGATCGAAGAGGAAGATTATCGACGTCCCAGTAACGGGTTCCCCATATCTCACAGCATCCTGACACGAGCCACGAAAGCGTCGACACGACTTAGGACGCCTGACACCAGAGAGGGATCCCGAGTCGGCGACTTCCGCAGACAGGTGCACGTTCCCACGCATCTCTCCGCAACGGAACCATCTTTCCCTTCGATCACACCACCATAGAACAGCTACAAGCTTCGTACAAAACGAGCAATGGTGGTCGAACTGGGGGATGCGAAAGAGAAAGCAAGAAAGAAGCTACATATTCGATAATTGCTTGGTAAAGTACAAAGACTCAAATTAAAAATATTGGGACTATTTTAGCCTGTTTTATTTATTTATTATACGGGTAAAAATCCATTAGTGAACAAGAGAAAGTATAATGATATTTTTATTATTAGTAACATTTCAAGCTTAACATTTCAAGTTAAAATAAATCTTAACTATTTAGGGTCGCAGAATACTGCTTGTATCTCTTACAAAGATGGACGAAATTTTATTAAACGTATATTAAATATATAGTATTCGTGAGTAATCGATAATTTTCATTCGAATTTGTATTTGATCGACGGGTTCTTTAGATAGCTATTAACTTAAAGTAAGAATAATTGTAAGGGTGAAATGAGAAACTTAGGATTACATTTTACTTAATGCAATATTATTAAAACAGGAAAAATAAAAATATTGTAAAAATAGTTTTAATATTAATACTTTTAATTGATTAGCATATAAAATAGATTCACAGACATATAATAGTTTAAATGAAAGCTTCGTGTTTACAGATCCAATGCTACTAACCTAATGGGTAGTCATTCGAAGAAGTTTTAAAATTTTTAAATTTTCCTTTCTTATTAACAGAACATGTTTTAACTATCAGCAAAATTATGAAAAAGAGTTTCACACATAAAAATTTGTCTAATAAGTATAGTTTAATGTTATCGAAGTGAAATCCCCTATTTCCATTTAGAATAAAAAAAACAATTTTGTTTTCTCGAGTATAACATTTCTCAAATTTTTCATTCCTGTCTCCTTGAAAATAATGATTACGTGACCGGTGGCCTCGAGAATTGTAGATTAGAAACAATCCTCACCCGATTTAATATGTGGGACAGTGTAAACGATACCGTTTTGACACCCGATACATGGGACAGCCGTGAATTATAGAAGGTTTAGAATCAAATTCCAACATTGTACTGTGGTGACGAATGTCTCGAATGTTTAAGATTAAACCGGAGACCAATGTCTAATTCTTATAAAAATAAATGAATCGTCGTTCAAATTTTTTCAATTTTTCGACGTCGAATAAAAAAAAAATTAACTTTGGTTAAGAATAGAATCGAGAAAAACATGGAACATGTACATTATTATTTTAAAATATCTAAGAAGATATACTTTGTACAGTAATTATACATAATGATGAATTTAAAAATTATCGTTGCAATTGAAATGAGATCGTTGATAATTTGAACAATACTTTAAAAATTCTCCGACCTTTAATAACATAATTTCAGATGTAAATTATTTCTAGTTATTATGTAACCACTTTATTCACCAAATAAGAACGAAAAGTCTACATTGGAGAAAGTATACATATATAAAGTTGGGTGAAAGAGCGAGTTTCATCGAATAATGTTAGAACTTAAATGCAAAGGAACGAACGCGTGTAATATATTTGTATAACAAAAGAGCGTTACGAAAGAAAGCATCAATTGTCGCGTGCAGAGGCTGAGAAGCTTATCGCGTACGGTATTCCCCATAAAATGTATGAATTTAGATTTCGATCCTCGTGAATTTGGATTATTCGCTTCTTTCGTTCGAAGACCAACGCGGCTATAAAATATCAAGTAGCATAAGCAAGCGAACAAACACGCGGTCCGTTCAAAGTAAAATGATCAAACGCCCAAGGCTACATTGGAGGTGTCGCTGCCTTTGTGGCAGAGTTACATAAAATTTACATGCGTCCATAATAACATTAAAGAACAAAGCGTATGCACGGCGGTTTACTCGCGAATTTAGTGCTTTACGCTCGAGGGGAATAATCGGCCGTCCAACCTTTCTGTAACCGTAAAACAAAATACGACGTTTCGCCCTGAAAATGAGCTGTATGGCGAAGTTGATGTATAACCGTGCGGTCGCGCGATAATTTGTCGTTACATTCACGAGGTCACGATTTTCTCAGAAAGTCTCGAAGCCTTTATGCTTCATTTTACTAGAAATTTTCTTGCGTAACCACTCTGTACTTACCAAAGAGTGAAATGTGTCGGAGAAACTTTGATAAAAGCTGCTTGTCTAACACAAGGTGGAAAAGATATAAAAGATATAAAAAGATAGGAAGTCTTTCGACTGGAGCGTGGAAAATATTATCAAAACTTTTAAATTATACACTGTTTATTACCACTGTTGATGATTGCTTTTCATTTGAAGTTACGTAACAAAGTCATGAAAAAAATGCTGTGAAAAATTGACTATTTTCTGACATCCTACTACCTCCAAAACTATGTGTTGAAAATTTAATTTCGAAAGTAGTTCACTTCAGTTGAATTTCTTTAAATAAATACATTGCTTGCTTCGGTATTAATATTAATATTTTCTAAAGTATCTAAGTTTTAAAAAGTTGTTAAAAACTAAAGTATTATTTCATAATGGAACTTGAAATATTTAAAGATGTTGAATATGTTGATTAAAATTTTAACATCCCCACTTTTCATATCAAAAACAGTAAAGGCTGATGATATTTTATCAAATTATCTTAAAACGAAGCATGTAAATTTTTCCACTGTTGAATAGTGCTTTTAATATCAAATAACGTTTATCTGAAAAATTCCTTCACGCTTTAAATAATTGACGATGTAAGTTTAGAAGCATTTTTCGTCTCGTTTCGAATGTGTTTGCAAATGTGCTCTTATAGATAATGGCCTTATTGAGTCATCAAACATAACATCACTGGATTTTTAAAATGATGATACCTTGAGAACTAAGTGATGACAGCTGCACTTACGACAAAAGAAGACATTGAAACAAGAATCCGCGTTGCTTGTGCATAAATATCTATGTCAAACGATGTTAACAGACGTTAAACAAAGTTTCATTGGAAGAATTGATAAATGTTACAAGTTCGCGGACATCGTATCAATAAAATAACTTTCAACTTGAAATTTACTGATTTTAATGTATTCAAACACCTCTACAATGATCTCTCAACAGTTAACATTGTCCCTTATACGTCATCAACTAATAAAAATATGAAAAAATATCATAAAATAGCGAAAATGACATTCCACATTTTAAAAAGTGAATGTTACTTGATAATTTGAAAGATATAATTAATTAAAGTTACATAATGTATGCGACCCTTTCTAAGTTGCAGTCAAACATTTTGGTGAAAGAACGTAACATGAACTTTTCCTTCATGCCGATTGTACATGTGTTTCAGCTGCAACATTTCGATTGCTCGATGTTCGTAAACATATTTAACACTAATTACAACCGTCGCCATTATCATACGCCATATGCTGGCGAAATGAAACGCAACTGCATCGTGTCTGCGTTTTACCCCATGATTCGTTACGAATTTTTCATTCAAGTATAAATAAAGTATAAAATTCTAACGAATCATGCTTCAGAAACTATAAAAGAAGTAAAATAAAAAAATGTTTAATAAAAATTGGTCACTTAAAAATTTCAATTTTAATTATCGAATAAACAGCTTCTCGAAAAAATGTCTTACTATATCATTTGTAGGAAATAAGAAGCTGCTTTGAGTACTGCAATTAAGGATATGGTTCTATTTAAAGGAAGGTGCAACTGCACTTTGTAGCTATATGCATGTCGCTATGTGCACAAGATTGACATATGAATTTAGAGCATTTAAAGCAGGTGTGTCAAACTAATTTTTATCAGTCGGCCAATTTGCACTTTCTTACTATGTCGCGGACTGTGAAAGGCACATCTTCATATTGAAAATTTATTGAGAGTATTACTGAAAAGAAAAGAAAAATTTTCACGAAAATAAGTAAAACGATTTAATAACAACAAGGTACCAGGTGCATTAAATTAATATATTTTTCTCAAATGACATTATTATTTCTGCTGAATTATTCGATTATTTGTCATATCACAATTTGTATTCCCTTTTATATTCAATTTCCTTTTCATTATTTAAAGATTCCTCGAAAGTGATAATTCTTATAATATTACGAGGTCCAAAAAATCCAACTTAATTTACCCCATTCCTCAAACCTACTTTCGCGTACCAAAAGATGCAGTTCGACTCAGTTTCATAGAACACCCTGTACAACAGATAGCAATAAATTATCGATAAGTTTAATCTTCGTTGGATACAATACGATTCCTAACGCAATAACAGAACGCAACGAAACTCCATGTCTGTCCGTATAATTTTGCAAGTTCACAGCGTTTCGCATACCGGGCGTAGATATCGGTAGATTCCGTTTAATAAATTACGTTGGACACGATAAACAGCGGATTACGTACGACTGTATCACTTTTCGAGATACAATGCGCCACGGAGATTGCGGATTCTTGCAAAACTCGACGCCGAAGGGACACCGGCGACCGCGCGCGACGATAATGTGCACCGTTCGCCCGTTGAAGGCCCGATATACCTTAGAAAGAGGAAATCGTATATATCCGATCGACTAGGAAACGGTTTAACCGGGGGAACGGAACGATCGAGCGCGAATTGATTTTCATTCGAACGCGACGGATTAAGTCCATTAGCGTCATGGCGCTTAACGGTGGCGCGCCTCCATAACTTGTGGTCGCACGATAAGATCGAAGCGCGCAATAAATTAGGACAATCATGGAAAATGGACACGGTCGATCAATGATCAGCCTGACAGCGGTGGAAAAATGCCACGGAGTGTCATTAAAATGCAGCCAGCCGATGTTTAGACGCAGAACTAGATGCAAGAGCGAGCTAAGACCCGCGAGATTAGAAGGCGGCACCGGCTAAGAGAGAGATTAAGATTTAAATAAGTTAGGCGACCAGGTGATAGACGCTCTAACGATTTCTTTTCCCGGATCTTTTTCTATGAAATCATTTGAATATCTCCCGGCAAAGTACTCGATGAATATTCCGAACCGTGGAACTGGTCGTCGCGAGGTTGACAATTTGT